GTGGTTTTGGCTTAAAGAAATCACCATCCTAACTCAATGTGATTGTATTACAGTCATCTGACTGTGTGGGTAGAACATGAGTCTCAAATGCATGGCACCTGCAGCTGAGAAATGTCTAGGTTTCAGCTAAATCTGGAATAGTTTCAAAAAAATTGCTGGGCTAGAACCCTTCAAGCATTTCACATATATTCTGCGTCAAATATTTTCTCCTTGTGAAAATTGCTTAGGGGTTTCTCGGAGATTGCCTATGCATTTTAAATAAAGAATAATTACCCTGTAGGGACCCTAATTGAAATATCTGAAAATTATTATTTTCTAATCTGTGTACTTGACATGTATACATTATTGGTAGTGTTTGTGCAAATGCTCTGGCTTGCTATCAGTACCGAAGGAGTGGGGGGAAGGATTAAGCAGTTTCTTACACTTGATACGCAATGTGCTGTTTTCTTTTACCAGCTCAAATATCAGTCATTATAATGAAATCTTCAGGTACTGTATGCCTCTTAATCAGATTTCTAGTCTATTTTTATTGATGTTTTGCATAAGTGCAACCTGCTGTAATCATTAAAATCATCCATTGAATTTTGAAATTGTGCCCCCTTTGTATCTCCTTGTATGACTGGATTAAATGAGGGAGGGAGGGAGGGAACAAGGTGGATTAAAGTAAGGTAGTTTCTTTTGCACTCTTGGTCATTTTGCAGGAGTGGCACAGTCTAGAAATTTCAGTTAATTGAAAGTCAGTTGCAGTTCTTGGAACATTTTCAAGAGATGTATAAGAATTAGATGCCTAAATCTGCTTGCAAATGGTCAATAGTTTGCACCCAGACCATGATCTCATAGCTGCACACTGTGACTATGGAGTTTTATATTCAGAAAGCTTCACTGTGCAGGTTGAAGCTTTTGCTACATTTTAACACTCTTGAGTAGTGCTTCCTGTTTCTCAAGCTGTACCCACATCTGATGATAACAGAGCAAAGTGGAGGTAGCTTGGCCAAAAGATCTGGTGCGGCTATCACAATGTGGATAAGACACTCAGTCTGAATTTTCTTTGGTAGCTGGCCTATTTTTCCATTAGTTTTGATCAGTATCTTTTCGAACTGATAAATACTTAATAGGATTACAGTAGATAGGCAGTTGAGATATCTACGCATCTGAGAATAATTTATACACCAGGTCACATGTTTATGTTACATGTTTGGGATCCCATGGGCTGTGGGTTGACCACTGAGTGGGCAGAGTGATGGAATGAATGGACCCTTGGTCTGATCTATCATGGCTGTTACGGTTTTATGATGCAGTATCATTCCAAGTTGCAATGTATGGCTGTGAAAGCTGGTCCATAAGGAAGGCTGAGCGCAAAAGGATTGAGGCTTTTGAATTGTGGTGCTGGAGAAGACTCCTGCGAGTCCCTTGGACTGCAAGGCGATCAAACAGGTCAGCCCTAGAGGAGATCAACCCTGATTGCTCTTTAGAAGGCAGATACTAAGATGAAACTCAAATACTTTGGCCACCTAATGAGAAGGCAGGACTCCCTGGAGAAGAGCCTAATGCTGGGATCAATTGAAGGCAAAAGAAGGGGACGGCAGAGGACGAGGTGGCTAGATGGAGTCACTGAGGCAGTTAGTGTGAGCTTAGGTGGACTCCAGGAGATGGTGGAGGACAGGAGGGCCTGGAGGAATGTTGTCCATGGGGTCGTGATGGGTCGGACACGACTTCGCGACTAACAACAACAACAATCATTCCAAGTGGCATTCTGGGGACAGGGGCAGAAGAAATGGTGTCCCCTACTGGTGATTAGTAAATAGAGGGATCATATTATTCTGCAGCATTATTAAAAAAAATTAAAATGGTGTTGACCAGCCCAAGAACTGTGCAGAATGCTAGTGAATTTTGTTCCTCCCAATTAAAATGTGCTCCTATCCCTGAAAACAGAAGAAATCCCCTAGCCTCCAAAAGGGGCTGTAAAAGTCTGGTGGATTTTTGCTCAGCCATATGTTAAGGAAAGACATAAGGTATCATAACTTACAACAGCATATGCAACAATTGGGCATTGTGTTTATATTGCATTTTCTTAAACTTTATTATTTACTAGAACCCTTGGGAAGGCACAACAGAAATTCAACAAGCTAAATATTTCTTTTGAATTAAGTCCTATGAGCTTCTTTGGTATTTTTTCCAAAAACAAGCCATACCTTTTGTTCAGCCCATATTTTTGATATTATGAGCTGTTCACTGTGCTGTACCAGGAGCTGAGTGTTGAAGGTATTTTTCTTAGTTTGGAAAGTCTCTCCTTCCTATTGCTGTTATAAAATAACTTTAAATAAATTTAGATAATTATGTATTACTGTTGTATAAATAATTGTGGTTGACTGACAGCAGTGGAAATTTTAAATTAAAAAGGGACATGTCATTGCACTTTCTAAAATGGCCATCTTCCCTTGCCTTCAAAGTATTTCAGATCTCTCTCCAGTAGTTATGTTACACTGCCAGTGGTGTCCAGTTTTTTCACTCAAAAGGTTGCAAGGTCAGAATCAATATTTGTTCCCTTAGGGTTAGATGAAGCTGGTGAAGCTTCACCCATATCCTTTCAATATTTCATATGGATAGGAGAGAGAAAGCAGGCAATAAAGAAGCCAAATCGCTCCAGTCTGGGTGTGTGTGTGTGTGTTGGGGGGAGGGGTGTAGTGCCAGTCACAGCAAGCAAGGACATCAAGCAGGATACAATATGTAAAAGTAGGCTTTAGAGGTGTATAAAGTAAAAAGTGTGATATAAATGGTTAGAGTGCTAGGCTGAGACTTTGGAGACCAGGGTTCTATTTTCCACTTGCCATGAAGCTCAGTCCATGACTGTGTAGCCTAACCTACCTCCCAGAGTTGTTGTAGGGATACAGTGGAAAGCAGGAGGAGCATATAAGCAACCTTGAGTTCCTTGGAAGAGGAAAAAGGTGTTGTATAAATGCATTGTGATGATTATGATGATGATAAAAATAATGATTTGTGAATATTCATTGGATCATTTTCTGCTGAGAAAAAAGAACATCATACTAGAACCATACAAAATAGGAGGGGCAAGAGGGTGAAAATATATCCTGGTATATCTTGATTGATAGCAAGGCATAGTAGGAAGACCAGATACACTGTAGAGACATTAATATTAATTATAGTTATTTATATAAGATGTTAGAGTGTTCAACACACTTGATCAATATCAACAACTTAAGAAGTTGTTAGAAGTGCTACATTATTCTTGCTTTTCTGCTCCCTTTTGTTGTTGGATTTTATAACCTTGTGAGGCTGCCTAATTTTTTATTTACACACACACACACACACACTGATACATATCAATATATATATTGATACAAAAGGAGATATTATATCAATATTGATACATTATATTGTTACATATATATTGATACATATTATATATAGATAGATACAAAAGGAGATAAAAATTATGGGGGAAAAACTGAAAGATAGGTCAGTATCAGTGTCTTCATATTGCATGTAGGGGGCTGAGATTGAGAGAGTAGCAACACCACTGAGTTCAGTGTGACTTAAATATGTGTATTTGGATAGCAGGCTCGGTCAGGAAGTTTTCAGAACTCTCAGGAAGGTAACAAGCTGCACAAAATAGCTGAGGCAACCAGCTTCTCTGCACCTATAGCTCAAGGGGGCAAGAAGTCTGCTTTCTACAAGGACAACAGTATAGGAGTCAAATCGCATGAAGAAAGGTTTAAACTGAAGTTGTTCATCATGTGAGCTTGTCCCAGGTGGTGGATCATATCCAGGACATTTATTGTTACCATGAATTGGAAAAATACATGACTGTTAACTTCAGTGGCTATGCATTTCACTTGTGTGTTTTCATACTCTTTATAAATGGTGCTTTTGAATGTATCAGATAAAACCATTACTGCAGTATGTTGTAGAAGAACATGATAATGGGCTGCTTCCCAAATGATAAACTTTTGCTTTGTGTCTGCTCTGTGCACACTCTCATTGCATGTTTATTTTTGGCTTGTTGCTGAGCTATTTATCCAGCCATGAAATGATTCTTTCACAGTTTCTTACGTGTCAAGAAGAGGTGATGTTTGTATTATACTAAATGAGGTAGATGCTTTCGATGTGTTTGCGCCTCTTTATTTTCACCTGATAACTTCTAAGCTCAGTACCCTCTGTGATTCCAAAGGGGTAACATTATTTAGTTCCTCTCCTTGCAGATACCAGAACAGTGTACTGTTAAAATAAAACAGAATACAATGAACCACTTTATCATGCTAAATAGCAACGTTTTTTCTTCTTGCTTAATTTTGTTGTGTTGTTTTTCTTTGTTACCGCCATTTTGTTTTGTTTTCAAATTAGTTGTATTTAATATGCCTGCAAGACAGCAAAACCTGATGGCTGAGTTTGGGGGGCTTCATCAGGCACTGACTTGTCTGGTGACTTCTTCCTAATTATTGTTTGAATGTGCAACCCTTGTTTGTCCTCTACCAATAGCAGCTGTAGATTGTTCCTAGAGCTCTAGCTGATCTCCTTTTTGCCCAGATCCTTAGCTTGCACGTTCCTAGTGGGGACTTGCTCCAAAATCAAGATGCCAGGGCCTAATGTAGGGATGTTCAACTTGCTATGTGTTATGGCTAGCAGCATGCTTGTGGGTTCCAGGAGAAAAAAACCCAAGGTTTCAATCTACCCTAGAGATTTCTTTTAGCATAGTGCAAATGTAGCTTCTAATCCATTGGTTGCACAAATAATGCAATCATGTCTTTCCTCCCTACAGGTTCTTATACAAGCTTCAGAGATTTGGAAGCCTTCTGAACAGTGGGACTGTGATCTAATCCTAAATCAGGATCTTGTGCCACAACACTTTATGGGGGATTGTGCAAATGGGGCCTACTTACATAGACACACACACGCACACACACGCGTGTGTGGGGAGGGAGGGAGGGAGGGAGGGAAGCTGCTGGTTAAAGGAGACACACTCCTTTCTATGAATTTTAAAACAAATTGCATTTGTAGGGTTAATCCAAAATGAAATTAAGTCTGTTTATATTTGCAGATTTTCTTCCCACAGAGTACACTGCTGGGGGATGACCTGCTTCAGTGGTGTTTGTGTGTCAACACCACCTAACTAACATTCAGTATTAGCTAAAGCTTTATTATGTCCCCTGGAGTGCTCTTTAAGAATATAAGTGGAAAAAAGTACTCTTCTCCCACGGTACACACCCAATGTATTTCTTTGGGGGTGTGAAATTTGCTGTCTCCTTTGGACAGCTGAAATAACAAGCACTAGCTTACCATGCAGTATATATGTATTGCTACTTTTACAAAGTGCCAGTGTGAAAAGTGGAAGAGCTCTTGAAAGTTGCTGAGCTTAATTTCCAAGATATTTTTAACATGACACACAGCTGTACAGTGACCGTATTGGTCCTAGAGAATAAATTTAGTCCTAAACCACAATATCTATATATGGTTGTTCTTTGCAAGAGAAACCTTCCACAGTATACCTCCTTATTCTCGGCATCTAGAAAGTAGGGTCTGTAACATGTCCCCTCCCCATGACGGGAACAAATACATCAAAGAGTAAAGCATCTTAGAACAGTGGTCAAAGGAGAATTTTGTCTTTTGAGGATTTGTGTGTGTTCTGTAGTACAAAATGTTGAGCAGATGTGAATGCTTTTCTTTTGCTTCAGTAGTGCAATGACATATGGTATTTAAAATGTGAATCCATCAGAAGATGAACTGCCAATCCCATTATTTCAACTGTGGTTTTTTGAAGGATTTTTTCAATTTAATATGGAAAAAACTGATGTTGCTTTCTGAGCTCTGTCAGAAATGTGCTAGGTTCAATTTGAATGGACCCAAGTTTGTGGGCTATGGAAAATGTTATTCCTTCTCCTCTGCAACCTTTCATATGAATTGCTGTTAAATCAAAGAGATAACACTTTAACAATCTATGAATTAATAGTGAGTAGTCATGCTAATGCCTTGAACTGTAGAGCAGGCTGTAAAAAGTAATTGCTAAAGTTTCATGTGGCAATGGTTTGTGGATCTCTTCTAATGGTTTTCAGAAAACCTTTTCTTTAGAGATTCATTTCCAAGCATTTTTACATCACTCACCATTCAAAACAAATTAAGAGCTTAGGCATTGATTTAAACTGTTTTAAGATTATAAAGATTTGTTCAAATTTCATTGCCATGTCCTGGAAATGTTACAAATGTCATCTGAAAGCTGACCATGACAGAAGGTCTCAAAATCTATTTTGTAAGCTAATTTGAACATTATGGAGCAAATAGTGTTTTTATATGCAAGGTGAACCTCTACCAGTCCAGAGAAACAAAATATTTATAGAATGAGAGCAACTTTTAATAGGACATTGGATGACGAGGACAGCAAAGAGAGAGCTAAATTAGTTTCTCTTGACAGAAAATTCCAAAGCCTGGGAACAGCTACCAAGAAGTTTGTCTCATGCATTTCTATAGGTGGTGGCACCAAGATAAGGATCTCCCCTAGAGACAGAACACCCCCCCCCCCACACACACACACACACACACTCATGCAGAGTATATGGGAGAAGATGACCTTTCAGATAGTCTGGTCCCAAGCCAGGTAGTTAACAGTCTGGTCAGAGAATTCTGGATAAGCTGAAGTTTCCGAGCAATTTTCAGAGGTAGGCCTTTCTAGAGTGTTTTACAGTAGTCCAAACAAAGTGGGTAGACACAACACATATTCCTGTGAACATGGTTGAAATTGGGAGTATGAGGGCTGTGGAGGCCCTCTGTCAGTTTCTAGGAGATCAGGACATTTTTTCAAATCCACGTAAGAACAAAGTAGAATGCATGTAAAAAATAATGCACTTTTCATTAGTTTCTAGAATGCTGATCTAAAAGGGGACTTCTGCTAAAAATGGAGTTAAGCATAAGATACTGAGTTTACTGGGTTGATTACTGAACTTAAAGCATTAATTTCTCTTTTGGGACAATTTTAATAGTTGAGGTCCAGAATCAAAGGGACATAATTTTTTGTTCACCTATATAGATTGTGGAATATTACTGTCATAGAAAGTAACTGAAAGCTTAAAGTGGCACACATGCCCTTCTGTATATCATTAAAGCATTTTTACTGAGACATTGATAAATCAACATTTATTTAATTCTAATTAGTTTTAAATTAGCTCATGGCCCTAAAAATGTACCACTGCAATATAAATTCCTTATAAAATATGCTTACAACCTATAGCATAGGAGAACAAGAGAGTTGACAAAAAAACGCTGATGAAACCAGGTTTATTTTTTCGTTTTAGTTAGACTAGTTATTATTCAACTAAATCTATTCTTGGTCAAGCATTGATTGGTCAAGACAAGGGTGAAAACTTGTCTGCCTGCTTTGTTGACATTGCATAATATCTAGCAGTTTCTCATCTAGTGTGAGAGGTTGAAGGGTGCTAATCCATGTACTGAGATTTTGGAGGCTATCTTGCCCTGGGCAAGTTCCCCAGCTGCACCCTGCTGTAGCCCAAATACCTTTCCTTCCCTCTCTCTTTCTTTCTGGGGCTTCTGTCTTAAATTCTCAGATACCTAACTGGAAGGGTCAATATTGTTGAGAGTTAATACTCAAAGGAAGAGAGATGCTCAGCTCTGTTTAGAATGGTGGGCAGCTGCAGTGTACTGAGTCAGACCCTTGGCCCATCTAGACCTGCACTGTCCACTCTGAGCAGCATGGCTCTCCAGGGTTTCAGGCAGGCTTCCTTCCCAGCCTTTCTGAAGGAGCCGGGGATTGGCCTGGGAATCTTCTGTTTGCAAGGCATGTGCTTTACATTGATGCTTTGCAGCCTTTTCTCAAGAAAGGGCATAGTGAAGAACTAGATTAAAAAATCTTGCATCAGTCCAAAGACGTTAGTTACTGAAAGCAACAAATTAATCTTGCATAATTAACCTCAAGTTTGTCGCAGAGAAATCAAATTGAAAATATATGAATCTGTTGGGTGAGGTTGAGGTCTAAAAATTTCCACAGGTGCAAGGGTGAATGACCCCCTAACTCTGGATGACCATCCCAACTAAATTAAGGTAAATGACAGTAACACTGATACTTGTAGCAACAAGTGGGTATGAGTGAGGTCTGTGTTATCCCAGAGGTTTGGGGATAGATGGCAGTACATGAGAATGAAAACAAATGTACAGTTCAAGGAGTTGTTTTTGAGGAAAAGGGACAACTGTTCAGCTTGTAACCAAGGCCTGAGCAGAATATAGGAGCGGTGGGATAGATAGAGGCCAGGTGGCTGCTCTTTGAACTGGAGGTGTCCTTTGAAAGACCATTTTCCTGTTACAGCTAACCTGCATTTGAAATCCTTCCTGATTCATATTAGGATTTCTGTCGCTGAGTCATGGCAGACAGAAGACCAGAGAAGTCATGTGAACAAGCATGTGAATCACTCAGACAGCAGGATTATGAAGTGGCTGTGAAGCACTGCACGGAGGCCCTTTTTTCCCTCAGCCAGTACCCTCCCACTCACTTCCCAGACGCATGCCAGGCTGAAATCGACCGCATCAAAATTGAGAGCCTTCTCTATAGAATCGCTTCTTCTTTGCAACTTGTGAGTGTGATGTTTACAGTAGAATAAGTAAAAATTTTATTGTATGAGTAAAAATGGAAATTGAATGCCTTTATTGACATCACACTGCTGTGCTACTCTCAAGAAAAATCTTTATGATATACATATTTATATACTTGGCTGTATAACTGAGGTGGATGCTATACTTGTTTCTCTTAGCTTTCATGGGAGATGGGCAAGTACTGTCCAGTGGTGTATAAAACATGATATTCTGATTTCTGTTAGGCCTTAAATTGTAGCTGTGTAGTTCAGCAGATAAAGTTGGAAAAGAGGGAAATTGATTTTCATTTCCCTGATTTTGTAGTGACTGATTAAATGAAGATGAGAGAGTTGCACTGCACATCAATGTGGGTGTACTGGTAGATATCACATGGAGGTACTAGGAGATGGTGTGATTAATATCTGGTACCAAAATAATTTCAAGCCTGCCTGTATAAATTAGATTCCAAGGTTTGGCATAAATGCAGTTTAGATCTAACTTTTAATGGAGAGAAATGCTTTAAATATGCAGTAGTTATGTGATAAATTATGAAAACCTAAAAGCACAGCATAGTTATAATGGCATCCGTACACACGTGCCATTCAGTTTCTTAATAAAATCATAAGGAGGAACAAATTGTAGCTCTCCAAATGTTTTGGTCTACAACTCCCATCAGCCCTAGCTAGCATAGCCAATGCTGACATGGGAATTGCAGGCCAAAGCATCTAGTGGCATAAGATAACCATCCCTGCCTTAGAAGCCCTCTTTATAAAATGGAGTTTAAGAGAGGGTAACAAATATTGATTGGGACATATTTTGCTTAATACATTCTTGATGGGGTATATGAGTTTAAATACTCCTTAAATGTTTGAAAAGAGTTTAATAATAACATTTGTTGACAAATACATAGAAAATGCAAAAATCTTAATGTAAATGTTAGGCTTTGCAAAAGAATTTATCCCCCTTTGCTCTTCCTGTTTTGTTGTTTTACAATTGGAATTGAGGTGAATTTAATTGATATTAAATTCAATATGGTTACCACGATGTGCAGAAGATAGTCAGCCCTATGAAGATGTGAAATATTTATTGCAGCACAAAAGTTAAGTAAACGAAATAAACTGGCAATTGTTGGTTGCATAAGTGTTCACTCCATAGATCAATTCTTGGTAGAGGGACCTTAGGCAGCAATGACAGCTGTTAGTCTTCTTGGGTAAGTCTCTATCAGCTTTACAGACGTGGATCCTGCAGGGTTTGCCCATTCTTCTGGTCAAATGGTGAACAGCAACTGGTGAATAGCAACTTTCAAGTCCTACCACAGATCTTCAGTTGGACTGATGACTGAGTCATTCTAAGACATTCATTCCAATTTTATTTTGGCTGTGTTTTTAGGGTCATTGTCCTGCCGGAAGGTGATCCTCCACTTAAGTTTCAGGACCCTGAAATAGGTTCTTGCAGACTGAAATAGGTTTTCCTCAAGACTAGCCATGTATTTGGCTCAATCCATTTTGCCATCAGTCCTGATCAGTTTCGCAGTTCCTGTCAAGGGAAAGCATGCCACAGCAAGATGCTGCCACTGCCATACCTTTCCTGTGGGGAAGGTACTCTTAGGGCAGTGAACACTGTAGGCTTGTGCCACACAAAATGTTTTGCAACAAGGCAAAAAAGTGAATTTTGATCTCACCAGTCCAGATAACCTTCTTCAACATGCCTTTTTGCCAACCTCAAACCACCAACATGGGTTGGATATTGTTATTATTACTGCAGTGCCTATATATCTTTCCTTTTTTTCATCTTGTGAGGACCCCAAGGTGACTCACACATCTTCATTGTTCCTCACAACAACAACCCTGTGAGGGAAGTTGGGCTATGAGTGCCTGACTTATCTAAAGACTCACAGTGAGCTTTATGGTGGGGTAGGGAGTAGTATGTAGCTCTCTCAGGTCCCTAGTCCAACCCTCTTAATCACTGGCTCTCAGTGGCATTGAGATGGGTTTGAGATGGGTTTGTTTCAGCAATGGCTTTCTTCTTGCCACTCTACTACAGTGCCCAGCTTTGTGAAGCTTCCAACTGAGCTCTCAAATTCTCCAGTTCCTTTGAGTTACTATTTGACCTCTTGGTTGCTTCTTTAGCTAATGTCCTTAATATCCTGTCATTGAATTTTGTTGGATGATCTTTATGGTTGACCCATATTCCTTAAATGTTGTAATCATGGATTTAATGATGTTCCATTCATCCCCTATGAAGGGGATGTTCATAGTTCGGTGTGTGTCTGTGTGCATGTTACCCAACCCTGATTGGTGCTTCTGCACAATGTTAGTCTAGATTTGTTTTGTTACCTTTTAGCTCTCTCGGGGCCTTCCAGAAATAAATGTACTGAATCTGAAAGAATATGGCACACCCCATTCAGCTACTTGTATGTTACTTCTGGAGGTGGTGGGTTGCACTGGAGCATATTTCAACAGAACAAAGGAGATGAATACTTAAGCACCCAAGAATTGCCAGTTTGTTTTTGTTTACTTAATTTTTGTACCAAGGTAAAAATATTTTGCACCTCCACAATGCTGAGTATTTTGTGTATATCAAGTAGCAACAATGCCGGTTCATTCCATATTCATTCATTCAATTAATTCACTCCATTTCAATACCAAGTTGTGCTACAACCTGGAATATGGAAATGTCGAAGTGGAGTGAACACTTTAGCAGTGGTCAGACTTAAAGTGATTTAGTTGCACAGTAAAATAATTTGCATGGTGGGTTGTTAGCAGTGTTAATTTTTAAACAAAGCTAGTGACAAATTTTGAGTTTTATAGACTTCACATAATCCTCTATTCCTAATGTAAGTTATGTGAATTTTCATGGAGAAAATACTTGCTTCTGTGTTTATTTAATATCTAGACAAGTGGAACTGTCAACAAAATATTAGTGCGAAGTGCTCTTGTTTATAGCCCCAGTTGGATAGCCATGTATTCCTCTGTGATACTTCATTTCATTCCCTCTATCCCCACAGTAGTCAGCCTTCTATGACCACGAAACATTATTGCTTTAGTCTCATTGAGCTAGTTCTTTTTTGGGGGGGGGGCTTTAAGTGTTATTCTATAAATATCTTTTGTCCACCTCCAAATCTTGGGCTTCTTCTAAGTGTGCTAATACTACCCTCTTGAATGTAGATGGTGCCATTTTGGCTATGTGAGAGTCCACACTTGGATAACATGTCTAGAATTTAAATGTCTGTAGAATTTAAACCTCTGTTTGAATTATCATCTGTGCATATTGGTTGTGTATAAGTTGCACTAAAATCAGTGAGGCTTCCAGACACTTGACTGTTTATTTTTATAGCCAGTATGCTGCTGAACAAATAACAATTTTGTTAAGAATGATTTTTAAGCAGTTAAAAAGTAGAGATATACTTATTCTATCTGTTGTGTCTAACCATCATTTTTCTTTTTGCAGAAAAACTATGGGAAAGCAGATGAGGACTGTAGGCATGGTATGCACATTAAATTATTTGTAGGTTTATACAAATGAGCTTTATGCTTCAGTAAATGGTATCACATTTATTCCTTTAATAATATGGAATTTTCCAAAATAGCAGTATTGCTGTAGTTTATTTTTTAAAAGATACTTGTGGTTTTCAAAAAATCACAGCGTATATCACATTCACTTGGTTGTACTCTTTCTCTGAGGTTGGGGTATCTTCACAATGGAAGAAAATGGTCCAAAAGATACTCCAGTATTAATTGCTCCAAAGTAGGGTAGTGTTACTGTCATCTCATGCACTGTTATAACAGAAGATTGAAATAAGTTGAATTTATGCTTTGAAATCTTCAATATCTTCTACAGTATAAGGCAATGTTGGCTTTTTCTTATTACTTTTTAGTGCTGAGAAATCACTTTAGAAACATAAACATGGGAGCAGATGGGTCCCCCAGAATTCATATTTTGGTACAATTGAACTTAATTTGAATTTCTGAAAATCTTGTCATATCAAAGGACCTGCCATGCTTATATTAACATATTCTGTTTCTGAAATGGGTGCCCTCATGCTTTTTGATATTTCATTCAGAGATTTAGATGGTTGTAAAAATGTCTAAATGCATTTCTGTATAAATGATTAATCTTTTGATAATTAGGTGGTAGGCTACAGTTGGTTGAATTAGTGGGTTAATTAAGGCTAAAACTTAAACAAATAAAGCTTAATTGGTGGGAGCCTATTTTAGTTTGCTGTGAATCAAAGAGTACACTTTTTGGAGGGTATTTTTGTTACAGAGTGTTACTGTAATTTCATATGAAAAATGAAGTAATTCAAAAGGTTCCTTTTCTTCAAACATAAGGTGACAGCTTTTGTTTATTTAACAGCATATTATATTTTTATCTTTGATAACATGCAGATTTATTTAAATGCGATTTTGTGACATAAATACATCATCTTGGTTGATAATAAATGATAGATTAAGGAGATGTGATGGATCTAATCCAGAGGTTCACAACACCAGTAATTTGGATTATGTTTATATTTTTAGCTAATGATGTCTGTTTTCCAGAAAATCTTCAACGGGACAACAAATTTAATCATTTTTGTATCAGTTAATTTGCATCATAATTTTTTTTATCTGTATCTGAAAATTTTCTTAACCCCTACGGAGTGATTAAATTTGGCATGGTTATTTACTTGTGTTTCATAAACAACAATGCTAAAAGAAAAAGAATTCCATGCTAATTTGCTGCCCTCATGCAGTACAAGTATTTTACTTAAAACATTTTAGAGAAAAAATTAGAGCAGTGTTAATGAGATTTAAATATTATATCAACATTTTTATTACAATTCTTGCAAAAAATGTAAGGGTATCAGCATGTACTTTCCTTACATAGTTTTAATCTAACGGGGGGAGATAAAGCTACTAAAAACTGTTGCTATACCAATATATTTTAACAATCCATGATGGGCTGACAAACACTAATCTATTTCGACATGCTTAGCAATGAGATAACCAGAGGAATTTCTATTTGTCACATTTTCAGTGACATATATTTTGTCACACACATGCTGGCGTAATCACCTGTAAATTAATATGTAGGATCCAGCAGGGAGCTTCTGTTTCTGACAGTTCTCTTAGGCCAGGGGTCAGCAACCTTTAACACTCAAAGAGCCATTTGGACCCGTTTCCCACACAAAAGAAAACACCGGGAGCCGCAAAACCCTTTTGACATCTAAAATGAAGATAACACTGCGTATATCATTTGTTACCTTAATGCTGTGTATATCTTCATTATGATTTAGCTGCAGCTCTTGTTCAGTCACTAAAAACTGTTATTTTTAATCTTACATTATAAACTAGTAGGACTCCTTTCATGTATTTTGAAAAGGAGAACAGCTTCCTGCAGAGTCAAAGTCAGTGCTAAAGGGCTGCATGCATTAAACAGCAAACCCCATAAGTTTGTCAGCAGTAAAAGCAAATGAATCTACCCACGTATCATTAAACAGTTTGGTTTTCTTCAGAAACTTTTCTTCGATTTATCTATGGTTGGCCTACGGGGGTGGGGGGGAGGTAGCTCAGTAACTCAGTAAACCGCAGATCGCAGATCGGCTGTGCTGGAGATATAAGTGTGTTTAGTGACTGATTAGCAGATAAACAGTCAAGTGCTGTGAATTGTAACAGGTCCCAAGCGCAGCTTTTAACATTCAGATGAAGGAGATTACATTGGGACAAAGTTTGGTGTAACATGAGAGCCTGCAGGAAGCTTGTTTAGCAGAGGAATGTAGCAATTTACTTAACTAGCTGATTTACTTCACTAGCTAGCACTGCATTCCTGAGTGGAGCTTTGAGCAGATCAGTGGCTGTGTTTTGAGTGAGGGAGCCTCAGCAGAGGGGTTCAAGAGCCACGTGCAGCTCCGGAGCCGCAAGTTGCCGACCCCTGTCTTAGGCTCTGCAAGTGGCTCCTGCCATTTGTAAAATGAAGATTTTGCACTTTTGGGGCAACTCTGAATGAGATGCAGCCCTCAGTTCTGGAACAACCCAGAGCTTGCATGAGGGAGCTTTGCAGATCTGTCCTAGCTGAGAAATGAGTACAGGCCGTTCCTGAGTTCTGAACATCCCATACTTACAAACGAACTGCTATAAAACCTCTTAATTTAAACAAAATACTGGGGAAATTCATCATCACCACAGAGAGAGAGAAGCAGCAAAAGGAGACAGAGGGAAGGCCTCCAAAGCATTACTATGGAGAGAGAGGCCCCCAAAGCTTGCCTTCCTGCCACGCCCATCCAGAAAATGAAATCTCTTTGGCATTTCCTTGCTACAAAGAGTAGGTGTTAGTGAGTTTGGATGGGTGGGGGCCCTAGAGATATTTGTGTTTTTTCCACTTTCATGGGGGTCCTGTGCCCATAACCCACACAAACATGGAGAGCCAACTATATGTGATCTGAATTATTCGACTTAAAGACGAAATTCTGTTTTCTCTTTAGGAACAGAACTCCTTTGTAACCCAGTGACTGCCTGTATTTCTACTTATGTCAGGTTTTCCTCTGGAAAGTACTAAGCCTCTGTTTTGCAAATGATGAATCCTGCTCACACAGTGGAATTGCCAATACCCACTACTTGTGCAGCAGAATCTGTGTGGTGCAAGAGATTTGACTGGGGTGTCAGCATCCAGTTGATTACATTTTTTTCATTCTCTAAAACCTATGAGAGAAAACAAACCGAAGTTATCGTGGTAGAGTTTGCTTTGTGGCAACCTCAAATAATGTCTGTCAAGCCTAAATAATAGTTGCAACCCCCAAATACGTTCACTTGTGATTAGGATATGTTGATAAGATTCAGTTGAGTTCATTTAACTGATTTAAATTTCAAAATGTAGTAAGAATAGCCTATTTAATTTCATACCTGGTTTTGCACAGATGATATCACAGAAGAGATTCAGTACTGCTGCTCATTACAATCTGGTGCCGTCTTCATTTAAACAGATGTTATGCAAATTTTAGACATGATCTAGCCCTAAATTAAGCACTCTTAAGCCCGACTCACTTCCTTGGGAGAATTAAATACTTCCACTGAATAATAATCTGTGGTAAATAGGTTGTGACATTGAATCACTGTAAACTTCCCCTTTCCTACAGTTGTTTTAATGTAGCTGAATACTCTACTTACTATAGATCACTTAAGAGCACATTTATAATCTTATTTTATATTGAATTTAGTAACATGAAGCTGATCCACATACAAAACATGATGACCCAGCATGACTTGAGTGGGCCTACTCTTTTGTAAATAAACTGTCAGCGACTGCCCCGGGTACACTTCCATGGGAATCTCTTGTGCATGCTTTATTAAAATGAACACCAGTTACACAAGATAATATGTGCAAGCAATGGAATATTGGAGTCAATATTCTTTTTGAGTCAGTTGTCAAATTTCTAAGGATCATTGACTTTCGCTGTAGCACAGTGCTTAAGTTCAAAGCAGAACAAGAAAGTACAACATAATATCTGAGCCGTGAAAATGTGGAGAGGACAGTTTATAGGAATTACATTTCCAAATACATAAGTTATTTGTAAGTTAACTGCATTCCATGGGACTCACTTCCAGACAAATGTGCACAGGATTTGGCAGGCAGAAATGATGTTTCAGTAAAGTGAGACAAATGGGTAGGGGTGGAGGGGAGGGATTTGTGTTTTAAATTAAAAAATTGCTGTATTGTGGAGAATAACTGAATCTGGTTTTGATTGCAGTACTGGGAGAAGGACTGGACAGGGAAGGTGACACTTTCCGTGCAGTGCTTTGCTGCATGCATCTTAAAGGGAATCTACAGGTTGTATCTAACGTGCTTTCTAAGTCACTGATGGGCGAATCACTGGTAAGTGATAAGTCTAGTTTTCAAAATCTTACATTTGTAATGATAGCTAAATCAGTAGATTTCAAGAATAAACTGCTTCATTTTGAACCCTAAATAATGTCATAGCAAAATGTTCCTATGTATATACATGAAAAGAAACATGGCTTCCAGTTTTCATGTATGACTGAGCCAGCAGACAAACACATGGATTTTAAAAAATTACTTGCCTACATTTATTTTTATATTTATATCTCACCTTTTTACTTTCAAAGAACTCAAAGAGGCTTACGTAATTCTATTACGCCTCTCAATCTGACCCTTACAACAACAACCTTGTGAGGTAAATTGGGCTGAGAGTCTGTGACTGGCCCAGAATCACCCAGTTAACTACATAGCTGAGTGAGAACTAAGACCCTGATCTCCTGTGTCCCAGCCGCATACTTTTAACCACTGCACTACAGCACATTTAATTGCAAGGAATACCAAGTAATTTTCCCTATGTGCAGATTAACAAAGCAGAGTTTTGTGTTTCCATGTGAAATCTCCCTTAGTGCTCATAAGGGTTCTTTATATTATAAACTTCATAGTCTGTGAAGGCACCACCTGGGTTTTTGATGAAGAACTGCCCTTGCTACCCTGATACCAAGAGGGCAAACTTGGGTGGGTAAGATGTGATTTGCTACCTGTCTTCTTCTGTACTGTTCGCAGTGGTCAAATAACCTTCCATTCTCCATCAAGAATCTTCAAAATATTCTTCTCTGCTGCTATGCCTCTTACTTTTGTCATCTTAACCCCTAGCCTAGTAAAGTGTCCAGGGGTTAAACTAGAAGGTAGCCACACCCACTAGGTTTGTGGGGTGCACCCATCATTACCTTTTGGCTCTTCCAGAGACATAGACTGCCAGGCAGCTTTTCTCAATTGCTTTGTTTTTGGGTAGTGGAAAGCATGTTGGTTGGATTAATCATTTTTAAGGGTAATTCAAAATAGAAGTTATCATTACATTAATCCATTATAGGAAAACACAAAGTGGGGTTGCTTTTTAAAACCAATACCAGAAAATCATTGCTTGTTTAATTCTCTTTTAAGAGTCTTCAGAGTTCCTTTGTAAGCAATTCATCAAAAGATAAATTCACAGGATTGGATCCAGAGATGTCCAGCACAAATGTAAAGGCAATTCTGCCTCCTCAAAGCAGTCCCAGTGAATTATCTGTCTGTATTTATATATTTATTAGCTTTATATCCCTTTCCCTTTCCCTGCCCCATTGCACTCCCTGTGCCCTATCACATTCTTTTCCAAAGGGCATCTAAGCCTCAGAAGTAGCTTTAGAAGGGGCTCATGGGGCTATAGTTGGGGCTGGGGAGCTACAAAATCCCATCATGCGAGTAGACTTCAGTTCTTCTATTTCAGGATCCAACTCACAGTCTTAAAAATTAAATTTAATTTGAGATTAGCACTTCAGGATTTGATTTAAATTCATTATGCCCTCCAGAGCCTATATGGCTCTCCAGATTTTGTTGGACTCTATCTTCCATCCTCCCTGATTATTGGCTATTCTGGATGGGGCTGATGGGAGTTGGACTACAACATCCTCTGCAGGGTGCACAATTTCGCAATCCAAGTGTTTTGTTCTTTATCGTATTCCCTTGTGGCTAATTATATTTTAAAAGATACATGAGCAAATTTGATGTAAGGTTTACTTTTTCATTCATATTGTCAGGGTTTTAAATCAGTTGATCTATCAATTTATAGATTAGTTTAAGACAGGACTGAAGAATTTCTAGCCCTCCAGATGTTGTTGAAATCTAAAAGTATCTGGAGAAGCACAGATCCTTATCCCTGGTCTGTGAACTGGGAGTTCCTTGTTCTTTTGCTAGTGTTTATAAAATACATAGTAGCCAGACACATACATCTAAAGGATAGCCTTTGTCAACCAAAATAAGTAAAGAAGTGCCAGCTGCTGCTTCTGTTACATTGCATGTTTCCCTCTTGCAAGGAGCCCAAGGCAGCTGCATAACAACAACCCTGTGAGGTAGGTTATGCTGATTGGCCCAGATTTACCCAATGAGCTTCATGACTGAGTGGGCACTAGAACTCTGATTTTCCAGGACTCAAGTTCTAGCACTTTACCATACCACACTAGCATTAAAAGTTTGTTTGCTTAGTGCTAAGGCTGATTGTATTTTTATGTAATACAGAAGTTATTTAAGCATACATTTTGAAATTACACATAATCCCAGAGGAGCTATTGATACCAACATATAACAGCTATACTAAACAAAATACCACCTGTATTATAATGTTCTGTAGATAGCTGTGTAAATTGCACAGGTCCATTACTTTTCAGGGAAAGCTCTCTTGTTTTCACCTCAACTCTGTTGGTAGCTGATCCATTATGTTTGATAGTGAAGGGTCAGGCAATTCATCTGGCCTGGGGTTAACATTTGGCAGCATTAGATATTGTCAAGAAAAGAGAGTAGGGAGGGCAGGTTGAGGTATACTTTCCCTTAAACCAAGTAGTGCTGATTCACCAAGTAATGCTGGCATGTTCAGGCCTCAGATCTGAAATTTGTAGCTGTCCTTGATAGTGTTATCAATATTTTTTAAGAATGTCACTGTAGACAGTTTCATGGTTGGAAGAAGAATTTTATCAGGAATAAAAAAAACCTTGAGCAAAGCAGATAGATTGCCTTCTGTAGTAAAAGTGACAGGTCATACATTCAGTCTGTAGAAATTTTGCATATTTTAAAGCTGTCAAACATTTTCCATCACTTTGTATTAAAAAAGTTTGTTTTCAGTTGTGTCCACGCCACAACCTCATAGAGCAGATCCAGTGGGTACTTTGGGACTGCAGGTTGAGGGAGAAGAGGAAGATCTTTTGCATGAGTGGGGAGTTCACTCACATATTGTTGGATATAATCCAAACTATTTTTCAATTTTGTACCCACTGATATTCAGCTAGGATAGGTATAAACATTTTTCCAAGTGCATGTGCCCTATTTTAAACTGAACTGGAGTGATATGAGATAGACATTTAGCCAAATGCTGCATTATGAAACTTGCCAGTGAGAAGGGCAGACTATCTTTCTGGACTATAGGTTTGCTAACCTTGTTAAAAACAGAGAAAGAAAAATGGTCTTGCAGTTTCTATTTAACAGAAACAACAAATGGGTATGATAATGTTCTTTCTTGGCAGAATGGGATGGTAACTAAAGATCTGACAAGACTGAAAACACTTCTCATTGAAACGGAGGTAAGAGTAGAACTGTATTTCCTGATTAGAGTAGCTTTGGACTACCCGTGCCATGTTTTATGGAAATAAAAGATTCTGATCTCTTCCTCACTTCCCTATCAGTTGAGGAAGAGAGCTTGTTCACATAGTGCTAAATAATACTTGAGCAGCATATCTGTACATGCTTATTTGGAAGTAAGCTACAAAGATTTCCAGTACTGTAGGGCATGGAAAGAACCATGTCAGCTACTTCTCCAAGGTTGTAACCGTGACCTAGTAGAAGATGATAAGGGGCATGCCAAGAAGGGAGACTGCAGCTGCAAAGATATGAGCTATTCTGATGGCATCTTTCCCACCAAAGTGCTGTAGTTAGATGATTGAAAATGCTACTTTTCAGAGCAGGAAGAGCATGAAATTGAGCTTCACCTTCATGCTGCTCATGCTCTACATAGGATGCTTCCAAGTGCTTATCGGCATCCCTACTGAATTCTGCACTAAATGACCTGAAGGAGCAATTTCTCTGAAAGGCATTTGATTGTGCACCAAGATCATTCCTGGTAGATCTTCTGTTGGTTACTTTCTGAAATTAGGTGGGTGATGACTAGAGACAGGATCTTTTGGCTTATGACTTCCCACTTTTGAAATGCCCTCCTTCAAAGGTTCACCTGGCAACTTCTCTTAGTAATTGGGGGTACCAGGCAATAGACTTATTGATTGATTAATGAATATGCTAATTAAATCTTCATGGTTGCAGGCAGCAGCTGGTAAAGTTCCCTCAATATACCATGCAGAAGAGTTGGAAGAAGGTAAATTTAAAAATGCATTTTAAAACTATGAATGAGGTATCACATTTTCCTGTCAAAGATTGCAAAGCCACGTTTATCCCTCAATTTAGTATCAAAGGAGTGCAAAACAAGTAGAGCAAGAAGGAAGCTATAATGGAGAGAAACTTGGATCCAGAAAAGTGGTGGTGGGAGGTAACCTTCCCACCTGTCCTCCTCTGTTGTTCCCCTCAAAAATCCACTCTTGAAGGTTTTGGAGATGATATGATTGAAACAGACTATAGCATGGATGGGGAGGGGGGATGAAGAGGAAGTGGGTATTTACCCAAAATTGTGCAGAGCACTTCTTGTAACACTCTTAGTTTTGGAAGAGGACTTTGCCCAGTTGTTGGCAATTCCCCATGTTAAATCATATCCCCTTGAAGTAGGTCCCTTGTTCCTAGGGAGAGCCTTCCTCTGGGAGAGGGCAGGAATTCCCTTCTTCTTTTGCTTCTCATGAGAAACATCCATTTGTTAAGTATTGTTCAAGAGATGAGCATATCCATGCCTGGGTAATAATAAAATGTGTTGATTACTTGTTTAATCATGTATATTTATAAGTTAAAACATTTATACCCCACATTTTTTTCATACAATAAGCACAAAGCTGCTTATACTGAAGGTCATAAAATAAGTAAAACACAATAAAAGCAGTTCCAGTTACTAAATTTCTGTTGACATGATTGAGCATCGGTCTTCTGGGATTAAGCTCATTGATGTACAGGTCTTCCTATGTAGGACAGTAACAATATTTAATGCTACTACAGATTATCCTTAACTAAATGTTAAGTGCAGCATCTTTCTGCTGACTGAGAAGTGTATACAATTTTTAATATGCCTTCTAGTTCAATAAGCTTAGATGCCCAGGTTGCTGATCTTTCCTGTTTCTGATCCTGATGGCTTACGAAATCCTGTGTGGTTGCACTGTTTGTGGAAAGACTGCTTCCATGTGCATAACTCTTCTGTGAATAGAGGCTCCTTTTGTCTTGGAGTGATTGCATTGGATGAAACCCAAACATTAGAACAAGGGAAGATCTTGATAGTGATGCTAATGTGCCTCCTTACATGTCATTTCTGATAAGCATAAGAAGATAATAATCCAGTGGGACTAAAAGATCCTAATTTTAGAAACTCCTTTTGAGCCACTTTCCATTAGATCTTATTAGAAATTAGAATTCCCATTAGGTTGGATTGCTACCTAGTGTTTGGTTTGGCTCAGTACTCAATATCAATTATGTGATCCATATCTAGGTGGCCCAGACGTATCAGGAATTGACTAGTGACACTCAGAAAAATAACAATAATATTATAATTATGTGGCAGGATCTGAGGATGGCTGGCAATTTCGCCCCCCACCCAGGGGAGTTACAAGTAGTGAGGAGTACACATTATGCAAAAGGTAAAGCAATATCTTATCAGTATTTCTTGGTGATTGATTTACCCTAAATGACATCAGTAATAAGGGAGAGACAGGACAGATATATAAAGCATGGATAATATTCTGTGTCTAGACCTATCTGAAAAAGAGATTTTCACAAATTAGTTTTCATTCTAACAATCTCTTCCTCTTATATTTAGGACATAATCTGCATGTTTGTTTGTTTGTTTGTTTATTTATTTTTCGATTTATATCCTGCCTTTTTCCTACAAAGGGCTCAAGGCAGCTTACATTTCCTCCTCCATCTTATCCCCACAACAACGACCCTGTGAGGTAGGTTGGGCTGAGAGTCTGTGACTGGCCCAAAGTCACCCAGTTGGCTCCATGGCTGAGTGGGGACTAGAACCCAGATTGTCTTGAGTCCCAGTAACATGCTCTTAACCACTACACCACACTGGACTGATGGCATTCAAACAAGTTGATAAAAAACAGGGCAATCTAAAGGATGAGAGAACAAAGGGGAGACTTACTTTTAATTTGCTTTAATGTTGTCATTTGTTTAAAACCATGTGAATGTTCACTGTGAAATTCTAATGTCTCTAAAGCCTTTATATTAGTATGTTTTATATTGCACAGAACCTATATTTTAGGCTGGTTCCAGTGGAAAAAACTGTGCTCATGAAATGGTTTCACTAGACCAGAGCTCTCCTTACCACACATATGCCCTCCTGATACACACTTTCAGTTTAAGGTATTTCAAGAGCCCAATCACATAATGGACCAACTTTTAAAAGGGCATGTTGCCCCTGTGGGATTGAATGTCATTTTCTTTTTAAAGCTTGCATTTCATTTCATTATGTGATGGGTTTATCTATCTTCTCTCTTTTAAATGATTACCCTTGAAATGCTCCAAACTAGAAGTATGTGTCCTGGAAAGGTGTGTGTTAGATTTGTAAATTTCAGTGTAATTTCAGTGAGTATACTTATTTGATAGGGCATCATTGTTTGAGAGCACAATACAACTACTGATGGGCTACAAGTGCTTATTTTCAGTGTGTTTATTAGGGCTGTTTCTGGTGGATAAAATATTTTCATTGCTCAGGCAGTGCCTGAAAGAGGACTTAGCAAGCAATTAACATTTTTGACAATTTTTATACGAAGCTGCTGTCCAGTATTTTCAAAACATTTACATGGAATGTTTAATAAGTTTGATTTTTTAAAGCAAGAAATGAAATCAAGCCTTTTTATTTGATGACAGCCCTAATATTTCAGTGAAAGGTGGAAATACTTAGCTGTTATAGCAACGTTCTTCCCAGTTCATGTATGCTAATGATATCCTACTATTATCCTACTATTCATGGAGCTGCTCCCAAACTTTTGATTTGTGTGCTGAGGCTGTCTCTGTTGTACTAGTCTGAACCTGAAATAACAGAAAAGACCACATGGTGTCACTATCATTCCAGACTATGGAAAGATCATACAATGATGCATAATATGTCCTTCATTATTTATTTATTATTTGCTAAAGATTTCTCCTAGGTATCTATTTGGTATTAAAACATACTTAGAATAGCAGAGTTGGACATTGCTTTGCATTTTATGAGAAAGATCAAATGGAAGAATCTTCCATTGAACAAATGGCCATGTTATTTCCTCTTTTAGAGTTCTTTTTTAAAAATGTCTAGCATTTATTTTGCATAAATAGTACCATAGCCATGATCTAAACAGCTACTTTTAGACAGCCTCATTAAAAAAAATACCAAAACTTCATGCCATATCACACTTTGCTTTTGAAAGCCTTTTCAGTTTGACATCCGTGTAGTGTGGAGTGGGAGATGCTATCGTTGAAACTGAATCTCAAATCCAGCTGTGTTTTTTCCTTCCCTTTAATCTTGGTTTGGAAAGGCAAAACTCAAGCTTTTTTGGGAATGTGTGCATTTGGGGGACTATTTTTAATTGAAGACTATAACATACAATTTTCTTTCCTGTTTTATGTAGATTTTTAGAACAAGGAATCTGCAGGTATGGTGCACAGTGTACTTCGGCACATTCCCAGGAAGAGTTAACAGAATGGCAGAAAAGATATGCATCCCGCTTGATAAGGTTAAAACAGCAGAAGGAAAGTAAACAATGTCTGGGAAGTTACATGGAATCCTTGATTGAAAAATGGATGAATTCTTTATCTCCTGAGAAAGTGGTAAGAAAAAATAAATGGCTTCTTTCAGTGTTCCTATTTCAAACAGAAGAGCCTGATTTGCTAACCTGTGAACTGTTCATTCCCAAAGTGCATTGTAAAATGTACAAAAGCACCAAGATTTTGTGGAAGTTTCGAGTCCAGATAATAGTAGTACCAAATCATTCAGTGTCTCCCAGGTTCATGTCTGGCTTTCTAACCTGTAATAGGACAGTAGTACATTAAGAGAATACATGCTTGGAGGAACTCCTTCCTGCCAATTGTGACTGGCAGTTTCAGCTTTTTTAGGTGCCATCCATCTACTCTTCTGTTTGATCATGAATATGAAATAATAGTTCTTAAGAACATGATGAAGCCAAATACAGTCAAATAGCGTTCAACCAGATTTACTTACCATTTACACAAAGGGGTGTTTGGTCCATTTCTAAAGAAGGTGCTTTATAGACTACAGCAAAGCCTTTGGCTGTGCAGATTATAATATGCTAGGGATGGTCCTGAAAGAAATGGGTGTTCTTCAACATTTGATTGTCTTGAGGCACAACCTGTATCATGGACAAGAATCTACTGTTAGGATACGCGTAGAATATGGAGAAACAGAATGGTTTCCCATAGGCAAAGGACCAGGCAAGGGTGTATTTTCTCTTCCTCTCTGTTCTATCTGTATGAAAACTATTTCATATGGAAAGCTGGATTAGGATCAGAGGAAAGATTGAAAATTAGTGAAAGGAGCATAATTAATTTAAGATATGCAGGAGATAACCATACTACTGGCAGAAAGCAGCAGTGAACTGAAACTACCCCTGATGAAAGTGAAAGAAGGAAGTGCAAAGGCAGGATGTTCAGTTGAACATCAAGAAAACAAAAATAATGACTACAGAAGAATTACACAATCTTATCATTAACAGTGAAGAAATTGAAATTCTGAAAGATTTTGCATACCTTGGCTCAATCATTAGTTGTAGACAAGAAATTCAGACAAGACTGAGACTTAGAAAGGCAGCAATGAAAGAAATAGAAAAGATTTTTAAGTGTAAGGGCATATCACTGGAGACTAAGGCAAGATCATTCACACTATTATATTTCCAATTGTTATGCGTGCATGTGAAAGCTGGACAATGAAGAAAGCTGACAGGAAGAAAATTAATGTGTTCAAAACATGGTGCTAGAAGAGAGCTTTTCAAATTCCCTGGACTGACAGAAAAGATGAACAAGTGGGTCCTAGATCAAATTAAGCCAGAACTTTCCCTAGAAGCAAAAATGACAAACAGGCTGTCATATTTTGGACACATCATGAGAAGGCTAGGCTCACTGGAGAAGACAGTCATACTAGGAAAAGTTGAAGCCAGAAAAGAAGACCAAATATGAGATGGATTGACTCCATTAAGAAAGTCACAGCCTTAAATTTACAAGAGCTAAGCAGGGCTGTAAAGGACAGGACATTTTGGAAGCGTTTCATTCATGGGGTTGACAGAAGTCAGGTGTGACTTGATGGCATATAACAATGAATTGCTGCATAAATCTGTATCAAGAAAAAAAAATCTGAAATAAATTATGCATCAACAGATAGTGTAGTATAAAAAGAATTACGCTGCTGACTCTAAAATGAAGAACCCATTTTCTAATCAAGAGATTTGGAAACTTTTAATCATTTCAGATATCTGTTTAGTTATAGTGATTTTGTCTTGCTGAGTTTGAGGCCAGTTGCACATTGCACATAGAACCTGTTTTACTCCAGTGACAGTTTGCATTATCTATTATGCATGTGGCTACTTACCTGTGTCTGTAATAAAGCAAATTAAACTAAGTAAACTAAGTTGATATTTGCTGCTGTCTCTTGGATATAAAAAGTTGTTCTTCATGAACAAGGAGACACAATACAATGGAAATAGGACATAAATCTCTATGGAAGCATAGATAGCTTGGTTAAAGTGTCGGACTAGGATTCTAGTCCCAATTTAGCTATGAATCTCACAGTCATTTTGGAATAGCCACTGACTCTCAGTCAAACCTACCTCACAGGATTGTTTTGAGGATAATATGGAAAGGAGGCAGAGAAGGACTATGTAAGCCGCTGCAGGTTCCTTGTGGAAAGAAGCAGGGGATATAAATAAAATCAATCACTTTTGGTAAGACAAGGTTGAAAATTCTGATGAACTTTTAAGTATAGCTGAGCATCTTTGGACTTGTTAAGTTGGCTTCAGTGGACAGGCAGTTAAATAAACTTTATCACAGAATTTAATAAATTGATTCCATATTATGCAAATATGTGTTTAAAATAATTTTAAGCTTGGGTGATTTTGTACTGATTCATGTGAGGTTGAACTGTTATGAGAACCTAGTGTTGACTGCCTTGTAATATTGTTTCAAATTCAAAGTGATAAGTATTGGGTTCTCTCCATATGTGTATAAACAGAGTGATCATTATTATAGTTTATGAATGGATGGGTTGTCCTGTTTAGACTAGTTGATATAATTAAAAAGGATGTTAACCAGTATTTATCTTGTCAAGACATATTTATACATTTGTAGAAAATTCAGAGTTATGATTTCAATCCTGTTGTTATCCTTTAAATAGAATATCTAACATTTACTCCTTTCTGCAGCTTAGTGAATGCCTAGATGGTGTGAGAGTTGAGCATAACCCTGAACTGTCACTTACTGTCACCACCAAAAAATCACAACAGATGTGGACATTTGCTCTCTCATGTAAGGTAGGCTTCTGTTTTTTCTTTTCAATAACTTAGGTTTAGTGTGTTGCTGAAATTATAGAAGTTTGCATTTAATAGTTTCAACTACTGTGTTGGGAAAGATAGTGGGTTTGATACAGTATGGCTGTATACTCTAAATGGATTTATTTATTTATTTACAATATTTATATGCCGTCCTGTCACAAAAAGCCTCAGAATGGCTTACAACATAAAATATAACATAAATAAATTCCCGACCCACTCAGAAATTAGAATTCCACTCAAATGGAATTCCACTCAGAATGTTCATGTTGGCCCAACAGTGGAGCAGGAGACTTTTACTGATACTCCTCTCCTATAGCAATCTCCAGTGCTATCTCCCTTACTGTTCTTCAGTAGATTTCTAGGGGGCATTGAGGACTGCAGAAGGTGAAACATGAAAATTATATCCTAATACATTGGTGAGAATCTTTTGCATGGACAGAAATAGCCCCTCTAGAAATATCTGGATTACTAGAATGTCCCTATCCACAGCGACTGGGTTCTCACAACATGACAACCTATCATGAGTAACCATCCATGGTGTATTGTCAGAATATGGACTCTTTCCTGCAGGGTGACTACTTGCAATGTCAACTGTTTCCAAGATGCATTCATACCTCATTATTTTGTGTCAGAGATCTGTAACTGACAAAAGAGAAAGCCAACAGGGGTGTGGGGCATGTCCAGTGCATTGCACTGAGTGTCACAAATGTGACTCTCCTAGCTGGACAGAAGTTGTGAGCATGTGCTAAGTGTAACGAGTTTCTTGCTTTCAAGGAACAAGTTGGTTCTCCTGAAGCCAAGGTTGCTCACCTGGAGAAGCAAAGAGAAACATTGAGGCTGGCTGAAGGGACCCTTGGAGATCAAATAGCAGGGTCCTAACTCTTGGGTGACATTTGCTCTGCTCTCATGGAAAATGGGGCCCCAAGGAAGAGGGAAATAATCCCTTTGAACAATATATTCCATTCCTTGGAAGGAAAGCATTTATCCTCTCACATCAAGGATGCACTTCTGGAGACTTGTGGGGGCTTCTGCTAGTGGAGATTTAATCATTGGACACATGTTTTATTTATTTATTTGCTTGCTTGCTTGCTTAATTATTTTCAAGTTTACAGGCTACTGAATAGCCCTCTAAGGATTCTCTAAGCAGCTAACAACATTAAAAAGAGGACAATGGCACGATTATAAGTATGGGGAGGGGGGTAGCGGTGTGAGCTTTTACAAGCAGGTGTGAAAGTTAGGTTTCAAACAGCCTTCGAAATAGGACAGTTTTTGTCTGGTGCCAAAACGAAAGTAGTGACGGAACCAGGCAGATCTCTTTAGGAAGCCCATTCTAAAGGTGGGAAGCAGCCTCTGAGACTGTTGAGACTGTGATCGGCATGTGGACTTAATGTTGAATTGCCTCCCTGGCACTAAGGTTGCCAATAGCATGAATCATCTAGATAGTCTTGCATGTAGTACAGGGGTAGAATCAGTAGTCATGGTCCATGTTGGTACCACTGATATGGGGAAATGTAGTCATGAATTCCTGGAAGCCAAATTTAGGTTGCTTAGGTAGAAGGTTGAAGTCCAGGACCACCAAGGTAGCTTTCTCTGAAATGCTCCCTGTAAGTGTTGGTCATGGAACCAACCAGAGGCAATCCTGGATCTAGTCCTAGGTGGGGTTGCAAAATGTGCTGATCCTACCTTTGCTTTGGCCATGAAAGTTTTAATTTTAAGGTTTTGCCTATGATTCAGACATGAAAGATGGAATCAGGAGCTGTAAGATGGTGTGTTGAAAATGCTCAGATGTGTGAGCCTCACTTTGGGCATGAATTTACAATGTGGACTTGGACAAGCTTGTTTTGCAGCCCCTTTCCCATATTTCTAATATAGAGTTCATAATACTTGTCAATCTTAGAAATTTTTCTCAGGATTGCTACATCAGTCACATCATCCCCTAATGAAAGCCCAAATGCTTTCTAGTCTTTTGATCTGTAATGGTAACTTCTTAGCATGTTTCTCTGACCACACGGAAATGCTAGAAACTTTGCATATTTGGAAATCTAACTGGATGTTTTTGAAGTCAGTTAAAGTAATCATATTCTATATTGGAATGCCACTTCTTGACTGCTGTGGTAAAAAGTTCTTCTAATACTTTGGATTAAACAGATACACATGTATGTATATAATGACTCATATAGCTTTGTTCCTCCGTAGCCTGCAAGAATGTTGTATCGAGTGGCGCTGCTTTACGATGCTCATCGTCCCCATTTCAGTATCACGGCAATATCTGCTGGAGATAGTGCTACCCAGGTATCACAAGAAGTCCCAGAAAACTGCCAGGAATGGATAGGAGGAAAGATGGCGCAGAATGGATTAGACCACTCTGTGTACAAAATCAGCATAGCCTTTAGCACAGAAATCTTTGGGACGTTTCGCCAAACTGTGGTGTTTGATTTTGGGACTGAGCCGGTTTTGATGCAACGAGTAATGATTGATGCTGCTTCCACAGAAGGTATTGCTTCCATGTTTTTCTTAACATACAATTGAAACAGTCAATGTTATATAAGTTTTTGTTTTAAGTTGCTTCTAGAATGATTTCTGACATATATGACTGTAGTTATCTAGTATTCATGTTCCTAACTCCAAGGCATTTCTTCTTCTGATAAAGCTTTTCTTTGTTTTTACTTTTTTAAACCAAAGATGCATTCTTGCTATAGGCCCCTCTTGAAGTCACCTGCTATATTCAAAATGGAATACTTTGTGCTTTTACCATGACTACAACAAATAAAAAAGTCACCTTTCTTCCATCTCTTTCTAATATATGGAGGACTGCACAGTGGGATTGAAACAGTAAATAAACATATATTTATTCCAGTCAATTTAGAGTCCCCTTTTTAACCAAAATGGCTCTAAAACAGAGCCACTTTTGTTAAAAAGGGACAGACTCTTAACAAAACTACTACACAAACTACTAACTACTAACAAAACTGTTCTTAAGCTAAAGCTTTAAAATCATTCAAAATTCAGGTAAATTAAGCAGCAGTAGTTAGAAACATTGTGCATGTCTACAGTCAACCAGATCGAAATGCTTTTAAGACTATAAGATGGCTAAGGACAATGAAGGAGACAAATTTTCTGAAAATATATGTTTACTAAACTGAGCACTGCTATGGAGAGTGCCTTATCTTGTGTCCTCGCCACATGGATCAAGGATCAGACATTAGTCTTTCATGCTGATCTCAGCCATGTTAGAGGAAAAATATGCACACAGAATAAAACAAATATTTTTGTCATTAACACAAAACATAAAATCAAATCAGTTATACAATCAAATCATAAATGTCACCAGTAAATAACATCAGTGTTAAAAAATTGGTCGAACCTGAATGCCTGGCAGAAAAAAGCAACAACAAAACATTTTACACATTTTTCTAGGGGATGGGCCTAGCAGCCTTCAGTGGGATGGAGTTCCACAAAAACAGTGGCATCATAGAAAAAGGCATGGTATGTGGGCCAAATTAGGAGTTCCAGCACTGCCACATGCAATCTTAACTCTACAGCTGCTTCTCCATTATAGACTGCCTTTAGGCCAATTTGTCATGTAGAAGAGATGTGTGTTTGTGGCTGTTTTTCTCATAAAAGTCCCCACCCCTCATACCTGTCTTTTTGAGATAAACTTTTGTCTGGGAAACAAGTAACATTGAGTTGAGGGAGAAGTTTTGGGGGAAACTTTTCCATTGGAAATTTCCACTTCTTAAATGTTTGCAATGGTAAAGTAATCACTAACATTACATTTGGCTGCATTGTACTGTGACCCTCTATCACAGTGATGGCAAACCTTTTAGAGACCAAGTACCCACACTGCAAACCAAAACCCACTTATTTATCCCAAAATACCAACACTGCAATAAAACCTGAATACTGAGGTTTCAGTTTAGAAAAAAACAACTCATACATTAACATCTTTTGTCTATTATTGTTTTTTTCTACACAATAATAGAGCTTTCAATGATACAAACCTATATATATCCTTGGCAGTGCACTGACTGGCCATGTGAAAGCTCGTATGAGTCGCGGCTAATGAGTCATGACGACATTGCCTGGCACCGCTACTCCTTTCTGAGCGTGCACATGGCCCCTATATGCACTGTTATCTGATGCTTGGCTGCTGGGGCGATGCTGGGGTGACTTGGCTTGTGTGCCAACAGAGAGGGCTCTGCGTGCCCACTCAGCATGCATGCCATAGGTTTGCCACCACTACTCTATTATCACCAGTCTAGTTGTAGATAAAATAAGCACACATAGTGAGGCCCTTTCAGAGGGTTTTAGGGAGTTGGGAGTATGTATTTGCTAAGTATTTTGCTGCTTAAGGGGTAGTCTGACCAGTCCTGAAGAAGGCGTCACTGGATCCAGAGATGGCCACTATTTATAGACCAGTGGCCAACATCCCGTTTCTGGGCAAGGTGTTGGAGCGGGTGGTGGTGGGACAACTCCAAGCACTCTTGGTTGAAACTGATTATCTGGACCCATTTCAGTCCGGCTTCAGACCCGGGTATGGTACTGAATCTGCCTTGGTCGCCCTGTACAATGACCTGTGCAGGGAGAAAGACAGGGGGAGTGCGTCCCTGTTGGTTCTCCTGGACCTCTCAGCGGCTTTCGATACGATCGACCATGGTATCCTTCTGGACAGGCTAGCGGGATTGGGGGTCGGAGGCACTGCTTTGCAGTGGTTCCGCTCCTATCTCAATGGCCGATTCCAGAAGGTGGTGCTGGGGGACTATGCTCTGCGCCATGGCAGTTATGCCATGGAGTACCGCAGGGATCCATTTTGTCCCCTTTGCTATTTAACATCTGCATGAAACCGCTGGGAGAGGTCATCAGGAGGTGTGGGCTGCAGAATCATCAGTACGCTGATGATACCCAGCTCTACCTCTCATTCTCTACCAATCCAGGTGAGGCAGTGGCTGTACTGAACCAGTGCCTGGCCGAAGTAATGGGCTGGATGAGGGCCAATAAACTGAAGCTCAATCCAGACAAGACGGAGGTCCTGTTGGTTGGCGGATCGAGCTTTGGTGAGGGTGAATTGAACCTAGTCCTGAATGGGGTTGCACTCCCTCTTAGGGACAAGGTCCGTAGCTTGGGAGTGCTCCTCGACCCAGAGCTTTCACTGGAAGCTCAGGTGACAGCGGTGGCGAGGAGAGCTTTCGTTCAGCTTCGGCTGATCCATCAGCTGCGTCCCTACCTGGAGAATGACTGCCTGGCAACAGTGACACATGCGTTGGTGACTTCCTGACTTGACTTCTGTAATGCGCTCTATGTGGGGCTGCCCTTGAAGACGGTCTGGATACTTCAATTGGTTCAAAATAGAGCTGCCAGGCTGCTGACGGAGACTGGGCGTTATGTTCACATGACTCCAGTTCTCCATCAGCTTCACTGGCTCCCCGTTGAAGTCCGGGCCCAATTCAAGGTGTTGGTTATGACCTATAAAGCCCTTAATGGCTTGGGTCCTGGTTACCTGAAGGAGCGCTTACGTCCATATATGCCCGCCCGCCTGCCCCTTGAGATCAGCGGGAGAGGACCTTCTCCGGGAACCCTCCGTGAAGGAAATTAGGAGGGTAGGTACTCGGAGGAGGGCTTTCTCTGCGGTGGCGCCCAATCTATGGAATGTGCTCCCCAGAGAGGTCCACCTGGTGCCATCGTTATTTGTTTTTCGGAGGCAGGCAAAGACCTTTTTATTTAAACGTCATTTTAATTGTTAATATTATTTATTTATTTTACATCTTTGGCCAGATTGTCTCAATTACATTGTTTTTATATTGTTGTTATTTATTTATTGTGAGCCGCCCCGAGGCTTCGGTGAATGGGGCAGCATAGAAGCTTCCTAAATAAATAAATAAATAAATAAATAAATAAATAAATAAATAGTATTATTGAACAGCTCTAAAAGTGGTTAGAATGGAAACCTTTTACTTAGTCTAGAATAATTTAACTGCTGAGAATATATCAAGGAACATTCCAGTTTACATATAATGGTGGCATTCAGTGGCAGACACTGGATTGATCAACTTATTCATTGTGGGGATGTGCATTGAATGTGAGCAGCCCCCAGTTTCTAGCTTTTGTCAGTAGCTATTGTAATGTCTGAACCTGGGCACTTCAGATATTTATGGGTTGACAACCCAAAGTTAACCCATGATTTCTTCAATGTCAATAATTCTAAAGTTGGTGATCTTTGAATGATATGTTTGAAATATGTTCCCCACGAATGCCTTTCAATCACTTCTCAAACATGTTCGTTTATTTATTTATTTAAAGTTCTTTCCATGTCACAAAAAGATGAAATCAGCACTTCTTTCTGTTTTGTTGGATCCCAGCGTCAGGAATATTTAAGCGCCCCCAAAAGTGGTATGTTTCTTGCTAAGTTCAGATACTTTCAGAGCTTCAGGTCTGTCAAGTTTCACAATGGAATACAGAAGTTTTAAGGAAAATGCACACAAAATTGATTGTATCCAGATTTTGTTTTAGATGTGAAATTCTAACTCTTGCCTGTTTAAAACGTAATGTTTTGGTTTTGATATTTTTGTCCTCTTGTTGTTTGATGTTGGCTTGAGCTGGGACTAGGATTGTGGCACATCAAAATACCCTTTGTTTGCACTGAGGCATGGCTTTTAAAATTTGTGTGATGAGCAACACTAATTATGCATCAAAGTAAACCCTTTGTGTTTTCTGAAGCTGAGTTTGCTAGAGCTTCAGGTGCTTTCTTGCTCACCCCTATTCTTTATTTATGTACAACAGATTTACATTTCCAGCACCAGTAGAGCAAAGATATAAAGTAAATGTCATAATTCATGAACTGTTCTTTTTGGTTATCTGAATGCTTACAGCCTAAAGCAGGAAGACTGTATTAGTTGTAATATTGCTGTATTGCAAACCTGACTTGAACTGTGTGAGTGGGAAATGATTTTCCGGGGACAACTGTGGTCTTCACAGGAGCAGCATTTTCATCTTCATGTGAAAAGGGGGCTAATCAAAGGCAACTGTGCAGTCACAGTTTATGAAGACCTCTTATGCTTATGTTTTATTGGTGTTTCTGAAACACTCAAAAACCTCTGAAACACAAAAAAATTAACTCACCTTATTTTAAATAATGCACCAATTTTATTTTCAGGAACATTCATGTCCTTTTCCATTCCAGCTGCCTGACTTCTCAACTGATTACTTAAATCAAGGGTGAAAACAGCAGCTGTGGTACAAAGCATAGGACTAGTGGTTACAGCTTTTTGCAGTCCTGGTGTAACATTGTATCTGTTGGCACCATGAGCCAAAATGTCACCTCTGTTTCTACACACCAAACATAAATTTTCAGATCCAAATAACTGGCATTTCTCTGAAGTGGGAGCTGTTGGATACTAAATTGGCAAACAAATATAAGCAGAGTTCTTTCGGCCTAAAATTATAAAATGAGGACTCCGAGGATAAGCAAAAGCAAAATATTCAGTATTAAGCTATCCTTGGAGCTATGCTTCCCAAAGTGGCTTGCCCACAAAACATTTTGTTTTCCTTACAGGAGTAAAATGGAGTAAAAGTGGGCTTGAACAAAATTGTGAGAGGAGTAATGCAGCAGACTGGCAGTGGAGGTATGATCACTTCTTGCCTCCTGGCCAGCTTTCTTGACCTCTGTGCTGGCTGCAGAAGAAATGGAGCCCCACAATCAGCCTGGAATCCAAGTGAGCTGGCAAGGCAGGGAGCAGCCAGTCCATGCATCTTCTGCCAGCTCCTCTGCCCCTTCAGCATGGAAGCAGCAGGCTAGCAGTGGAGGCATGGATGACTTGCTGCCTCTTCAGTCTGCTTGACTTCTGTGCCAGGCCTGCAGGAAGGGGCTTTGCTTGTGGCACATCCAGCATCAACACTGATGGGGCTGGCACAGCAGGGATGCTGTCTGGTCAGCTGTATCCTCAAGCCCGATGATCTGAGTATCCCACAGTAGTGTGCTATGACCACTCTTGCAGCTGTGACAGCTCTTGAAGGGACAGAGCATGTCCCTTGGGTAGCTAAAAGAAGAAATGTCATTTTCTGCACTTTGCATACATATGTTTGTGTGGCACTTCCCAAATCCACTCGTAGTCTTTCTTCACTGTACATGAATATAAGGTATCCATTTATTATCTTTCTATATTTATCTGTTGTCATACAGATCTTGAATATCGAATGAATGCACGGCAACAACTGTTAACTACAGCCAAGCGTTGGGATTCCACTTCTAAGACGATTGTAGAATTTGAGCCAAATGAGACTACTGAATTGGATAAGAGCCTTCTGATCAGATACCAAATTCCGCTGTCTGCTGACCAGCTATTTACACAGTCAGTCTTGGACAAATCATTGACCAAGAATAACTATCAGTCACGATTGCATGACCTCCTTTATATTGAAGAAATAGCACAATATAAAGAAGTCAGCAAGTAAGTAAGGTTTCTTTTAAAGATTGTGGCTATCTTATTTGAAATTAAAGATCATTACATTTGTACTCTAATTATTCTGCATAGTTTTTTCTAAAGGATGCAGCGTTTAACAAGCTGTGCTTCTTAGGAGTTCAGGAATGTTTACTACTGGTCTCAATTGCATCTAGAGTTGCATGAGTGGAAGGCCTTTGTGAAATGGGACTTAGCCTTCCCTCCTTCTGCAGTGTAGTTCCCAGTTCAAAGAGCTGCAATAGAATAGGTGAGGAGTGAAAATCAGGCAGATGCAGCATGGACAAGCAAAGCTTATCTGTGCAAGGTGCCTCTGCCTTATTTTCATTTCTTCCCCTTCTTCCAGCAGCCCTTGTACCACTTCCTATGACATGGGGGCGGGGAGTGCCTCATTGTGTGAGTGGCCTTTTGCTTGCACAATGTTACATTCATTTGATTTTGGGGGCTAGGAGCACTTTTGGTTTCTCTTCTGCCCCAAGCAAATATTGCATCTGATAAGTGGGCGCTATAAAAATGTGTTATTCTCCAGAATGCCTCCATCTCTTGCATTTGGTCAAACAGGCGTTTAGGCCACCCAGGGTTTTTAGAGCATTGATGAAGTTTTTTACCCTGAACTTAATTGTCTTACAGAGCCCCACCCTGCACATAGACTCCCCCCACCCTTTTATGGGGTAGTGTGCTTTCACTAACTTCATGTAGCAGGCATTCCTCCCCATTGCCTCCACACTCCCATTCCATGCTGTGCAACTGCTATTTTCCTAATATAGAAAAACTGCCTGTATCATGTTTTGGGCTGCACTGTTCAAAGTGCCAGCTGTCATTTTAAGGGAAGTGGCTTACAGGATGCTCTGCAGCAAGATCCCTTCCTCTTGCATTGCCAGGAGAGGAGGCGGGATTGCACTGTGCGTCTGACTGCTTACTACCATTGTTTGTGTGGAAGGCCCACAGCAGGCAACTGTGAAACCCAAAAATTTAACCATGCAAAATATAGTGCAGCTCTAATAGTCAGGTGTTATCTTGTGTTGTTACATGCTTTTTCCTTACAACATGTTTTTTGGACCCACATTTGATAAGAGGATACTGTAGATTCTGAGAAAGCGCATATAGATGCATATGTACTAAAACAAAATGTCATGCAAGTAAATCCTTTCTAGCTAGATTAATTACTGTTTTAGAGTATTAATTTTATTTATACAGTGGTACCTTGGCTCACGAACACCTTGGTTCACGAACAAAAATTTCTGAAAAATTTTGACTTGGACCGCGAACACCGCTTTGAGTGGCAATCAAGATCGCAGCCATCTCCACCACCACCCCCCGAGTGGGGAGATAGCTACGATCGCAGTTCATGCAGGGAAGGCATGCATGATCAGAGGTGCGCTGCTGCATGAAAGACGGGAGCAGCAAAGCAAAGCTGAAGCTGCGGGGGAGATGGCCGAGATTTCGCCTGTCGTTCCTGCAGGAGCGCTCCTCTGATCAGGCACCTTCCCTGCATGAACGGAACTGCGGTCGCAGCCATCTCCCCACCCCCAGTGCACTGTTTGCACCCATCTCTCCCTCCCCCAGTGCGCCCACGATCACGTCTGTCTCTCCCCCCCACCCCCCAGTGCACTGGGATGACTGGCGCCTGCAGGGATGACAGGCAGGTGCAGGGATGACAGGTGCAATCTCAGTTGTGCTGGGAGGATGGGGAGATGGCTGCACTTGTGCTTGGGGCGGGGGGGGGGAGATGGCCGCGATCTTTGTTGTTGTCACTTTGCTTCACATTTTTCTGATTTAAAAAATGGTTACGGAACCGATTACATTGAACCTTATGGGGAAATTTAACTTGGCTTAATTTGGGTCATGACCAGAGTCCTGGAATAGATTAATTTTGTGAGTCAAGGTACCACTGTATATTTATTGCATTTTATACTGCCTAATAATTGAAGTGTTCCAGGTGATTCACAACAATTTGAAACAATTTAAAATACAATACAGTAGAAAATCAGTAGAAAAGTACAGCACAACATTATATAAAACAATATAAACCGAACAGTAGTACAAATATTTAAATTATAATCTAGAAATTAAAGCAGTGCACAATTAACATTTCCGGGAAAATAAAAAGGTCTTCACTCGCCATTGCAAGAAGTATAATGAAAGTCCCAGGCAAGCCTCCCTGGGAAGTTCATTCCATAGCTGGAGTACCACAACAGAAAGGGCCCTCTTCACAGTAGCTACCCACCTGTTTTCCTTGGCAGGGGATCCCTCACAAGAACCTCTGAAGGTGATCTTATGGTCTGGGCAGGTACATATAGGAGGAGACAATCCTTCAGGTAACCTGGCCCCAAGGTATTTAGGGCTGTGGATATTAGTACCAGCACTTTGAATCAGCTCTGGACATGGCCTGACAGCCAGTCCAGATGGTAAAAGTTTGGCCTAATGTGATTACATTGGTTAATCCCTAGTAACAATCTTGCTTTCTTGTTCTGGCCCAGCTGAAGTTTCTGGATTGTTTTCAATGGCAGCCCCATGTATAATGCATTGCAGTAATCCACCCAAGAGGCTACTGGAGCAAGGATTACTGTGGCTAGGTTATCTCTGTCCAGATAAGAAAATAGTTGATATATTAATCTAAGCTGATAAAAGTTGCTGTGTGTGACCAAGTCCACTAGTACCTCTAGTGACAGTGCTTTACCCAGGAGTATTCCAAACTGTGGACCTGATCCTTTATGGTAGTGCAACCCCCTCCAGAACTGGTTGAATATCACTTATCTAGACAGGTGAACCATCTGCTAACAGTACCTTTGTTTTGCCTGGTTTGAAGTTTCAGTTTATTGGCCCTCATCCAGTTCATTACTGCATCTAGACCCTGATTCAGAATAGCCACTGCCTCACTGAATTCAGTGAAAGCAGAGATAGAACTGGGTATCAACTGCATATTGCTAACACCTCAGCCCAATCTCCCCCAGTGTTTTCATGTAGATGTTAAACAGCATGGGGAATAAAACTGAGCTTTATGGAACCCCATAGCATAACTACCAAGGCACAGAGCAATAATCCCTCAGCACCACCTTCTAGAATTGACTGTCCAAGTGGTAGTGGAACCACTGCAAAGCAGCCTGTCTAAAAGGATAACATGGTCAATGGCATTGAAAACCACTGAGAGATGCAACAGAGTCAACAGGCTTGCACTTGACCGGTCCTTTTCCTGACAAAGGTCACCAAGGCACTGCTTCTTGAATCAGTCTTAAGTCCTGATTGAAATGGATCTGGATTTCTTTCAAGAATGCTTGACCAGAAACCACCTGCTCAAGCATCTTACCCAGGAAGGGAATATTGGTAACTGGCCTGTAGTTTTTAACATAATTTGGGTCCAGGTTAGGCTTTTTTAAAGTGACCTGATTACCATTTTCCTCAAAGTGCCTTGTTTCCCCTCCCTATCTCCATTTATGACCTGGACCCAGCCAGATATCTCCTCCATATTAGCAGTAATAAGCCATGAGGGGTAAGGCGCAAACATACAGGTGTTCAACAAGACTTTGACAAGCACCTTGTCAACATCCTCAGGCCTCAACACTTATTCATCCAATGAAACTGGACCAGATGGGACTCTGAACAGGTCCACTAATGCATACTGTAGTGTCCGGTTTGAGCAACTTTATCTTCAAAGTGCTGTGCAAACTTGTCACAGCATGCTGTGGAGGGTTCCAGGATTTTTTCCCTGGTCAAGACTGCAGTAGACTATCACTCTGAAAAGTGCTGCTGAATGACAGTGGGAAGATGTGATGGTGGTGGAAAAGAAATTCCCATTTGCTACCCTCACCACCACAGAACAGCTTGATAATGAGCCCTAAATGGTCATGAGTTTTCCTCCCGCAACCATCTTCCTTCTTGCTTTATTGCCCTCAGCTTAAATGTATACCAAAGAGCTGAGTAGGCTCTGCCATGAAGGAGAGGACACTTGGGTAAAATTGTGTCCACTGCCCAAGTTGCCTCTGGATTCTATAGAATGCCCAGAGCTTTGACAGGAGCACCAGCCATCCTGGCAGGAAAATCCCCTGGTGCCCTTAAATCTCAGTAGGAAGTGATCCGACCATGACAAATGCACTGGGAGTCGTTAGTAAGTTAATATGCAAGGAATAAACTTTGTAAAGTGTTCGATGTATCTATGACATGCTTGAGCTGACCATTGAGTGTTGAGCTGGAACATTCCTGCAGTCAGGAGAATTGCCTTTTATGGTAATGGTAAACAAAATGTGGCGGGGAGGCTGTCAGTATGTATGGAAAGCAAGAAGCAAATGAATTAATAGAGGTAACAAAGAGAAACTTGTTTATGTCCACCATACTTTGGAGACTGAGGTTCCTTCCTTAAGAGAAATCTTATAAGTTGCAAATAAACTCAGCCAGCTTAGTAAAGTATCTGTCCTTCATTCACTGAAGTTCCATATTTGTCTGTCTATAAGACGCCCCCAAGTATAGGACGCACCCCACTTTTCCTACCAATCTCCAGCAAGCAAGCTGCTGACGCACACGCCGGCTCGCCACCCCCCGCCCGTGCATACTGCTTTGCCACCCTGGACGCACGCGCCGGCTCGCCACCCCCCACATGCGCACGATCATGCCAGTCTCCCCCCCCCAAGCGCGCCCATGATTCTCCCCTTGGCCCCCATGTATAAGCACCTCCATTTTTAGGTAAATGTTTTTAAGAAAAATTAGCATCTTATACATTTATTTATTTATTTATTTAGAAAATGTCTATGCTGCCCCATTCGCCGAAGCCTCAGGGCGGCTCACAAAGATATCAATTAAAATATAATACAATAAAATATAAAACAAGTTAACAATATAAAATAAAATACATGGAAAAATATGGTACATATAAATGAGAACTGTGGCTATATAAGAAGCCTACAGAAACACAGAAAAGGTATTCATCATTTGCACCTTTTCAAAAACAATTTAATCTCACACCAGAATTTTTAAAAATTTACATTGATGCAGCAATAACAAAGTTTTTTGAAACCTTAAAGACCAATAGATCTATTATGGCATAAACTTCCATGGATAGAGTCCACTTTGTCAGATGTTTGTGGTGTTGAGTTAAAGGTAGATTATGCACTGTTGTTATCTCAATTAATAAATTCAAAACTAACATTATTTAAATTAATTATATATTGTATACAATGTACTGTAGGCATTTTGTTTCAGTTCCAATGTTTCTTGCAATGTTCAGTTCCTTACTCTCTAGGTAATCATACTACTTTAAAAATCATCTGTGGAAAGACAAGAATCCCTACTGCTCTGAAAATGACAAAATTATATAATTATAGTGTATAGTTTGACTTACACAGACACATGAATTTGTTGGTTTTCAGGCTATTGCCTCTGTGCCTAAGAGTTGCTCTTGGGCCTGAAGAGGAAATACTGTGCATGGATGGTTTTTTTTCCTACAGGGAAATAGCCTAGGATATCTGTAATTTCAATCAGGAAAATAGCAGGGGCAAGGGTTCTTCCTCTATCCCACCTCCAATTCCCCAGTGCCACCAGTCCACAAGCAACTCTCTCAACTCTACAGCTGCTTTTTTTTTTAAATACAGAAGTTCCTGAGCATGAATCCCCTGTATCAGCTCTGCCTTGGCCTTCAATTTTTGCTATATTGTTTTTTCTGAATGCAGAAATCATTTTTAAAAGAACTAACTGTATTCTTTTTGGTTTAGGTTCAACATAAAAGTGCAATTGCAGATTGTAGCAAGCTTCATGCTCACCGGTGTTTCTGGAGGTGCAAAATATGCCCAAAATGGACAGCTTTTTGGACGATTTAAGCTCACAGAAACGCTTTCTGAGGACACTTTGGCAGGGCGACTGGTGATGACCAAAGTCAATGCTGTTTATTTATTGCCAGTCACTAAAGAGAAGTCAGTACTTACCCAAGGAACCAAAGAGAAGGTCTATGAAGCAGCTATTGAGGAAAAAACAAAGGAGTATATCTTTTTGAGAATATCCAGGGAATGCTGTGAAGAACTTAATCTTCGAGCAGATTGTGAAATGCAGGTATGTTTGGATAGAAATTTCTTGTGTACCTTTCTCTGTTTTGGTTGTCATTATTTTAAGTACCCCAGGAGCCTTAGTCATAACACAGATATCCAAACAAGGGATCTTGTTTAATATTGAACAATATACTTGCCTCTATGTTGATTCAGTTGCAATTGCTCTGGTTTTATTTTTATGTTAATTTTTGTTTGTGTTTTTAACTTGTGTTAACTGTCCAGAGAGCCTTGGCTATTGGGCAGTATAAAAAAGAAAAGAATGAATAAACATCTGTGGCAAAACAAAGGAATTGCATTTCTGAGGTGGTCTGCCAAAAAGGTTATGATAAGATTCTGTACACTGGAATCAGTATCTTTTGAATCAGTCCTTATGGTTCTTCTGCTGGTACAATGAAACATTACAAAATGGGAGGCCAGAGCTGTTGCCATCAATTATATTGGGACAGTACAATAGGACTTGTACAGTAGTACAACTACACTTCTGCAGGTGCTTTAGATACAGAAAAGCTGCCAACATGGTGTTTGTGAAGTCTGACAGCACTCTCTTAAAGCGTTAGACAAAGTTCCTTGTTGTGTTCCAAGCCAGAACTCTGGCCTGTTTGACATTGATGAGACGTTGCCATAGCAATGGTAGTGCAAATGATTGCATGCACTAGTCCATCTTCTTGAGGTCATTGGGGTTGGGCTGTCCGAAGTATATACGTAGGAGCTTACATCATTATACTGGGAAAAATTTAGTTATCGCATTGAATGTTTATGTCTGATTTTATATATGACAATGTTTGGAACTAGTTACTGAGGATTGAATTTTTTAAGCGCTGCACTTTATAGAATTTTCTTTCTAAATTAAACCAGTTCTGAGTCAAATTGCTGAAGTCTTGAATAAATGGGATCAGTACTCATACTTGCTAACAAAACACAGAGATTTTTTGAATTCATGATGCCTCGTAGAAGAATGCTGATGGGCTATGGAGCCACCAACTACTTTGTTTAAAGATACAGCATGTACTCTGGGCTCTTGTTAAAGCCAAACTACATCTGTTTCCCTCTTTCCTTTTTATTTCCCAAATCACTAACCATGCTGTCTGCTCCTGTGGCTGTGACCTATCCTCACCAACTCTTTTTGACCCCCACAAATCTGGCTTCAGTCATCTCCACTGATTGAAACTGCTCTAACCCATGTGTCTAGCAACCTCTTCTATACTAAGGGTGAGTTCACTGGAGGGCATTTATCACTCTATAAATAAGAGAGCATTCAACATTATCACCCAAATTATTGCATCATAACTTTCATCACTACTTGAAAGGTGGTCATTATTGTGCAATGATGGGATGGTAGTGTGAAAACTTGGAATGCAATAGAAAATAGGGAGCCCAGTGAGAAAGACTTGGTTATCTGTCTCTGGTGCAGTGGTACGATTCTTTTGAGAATACATTCTTTTGTCCTAACTTAGGGGCATTTTTCCTCACAGAAGATTTGTGAACACTCACTTTTCTTGTGATTATCTTGTGGTCAATTTATATTTATTTACAGCATCTTTATACTATCTGGGTGGTTTACAAATAAAAGTTAAAATCGTGAAGTATAAAACTGAAACACAGAAGTAAAATCCAAGCAGTGAAATTAGCTTCAGAATAAAGTAGTAACAAAAACAATCGTGCAAAGAACTTAAAACATATTAAAAGTACAGTGCCAAGTGGAGGTTAGAGTGTTGGACTGGGACACTGGCGATCTGGGTTCTAGTTCCCACCTAGCCATGAAGCTCACTGAGTGACTGGGCCAGTCACAGACTCTCAATCTACCACATAGGACTGTTCTGAGGATAAAATGGAGAGAAGGGGAAAGCTATATTGGGTTCCTTGCAGAAGGGAAATAGAATAACATTGAGATGTCTGGGGAAATAAAAAGAACTAGACCTGCTTCCAGAAAGACCACAATGTAAGCAGCAAGTGAGCCTCTTTGAGCCAGGCACTTCACAGACACTGGGACAGATAGGACATGGTGATCCTCCTGATGACCTGGCGCTAAGTTGAAACATGTAAGATTTTCTAGGCTAAAATCAGTAGTGTGCCTAGAAACAGACCAGGGACAGTAAAATGCTTCTCTTTTCTCACTGAAATATTTTCTGAATTAAAAAAGTGAAGTATTGTATGTCTTCTGGTTTAGCTTCTGACATGCGTATGCACATTTTACACATTTAATACTAGTATTTTAATATAACATTAAGACATAGCAAATTAATTCAGGCCCTTTTGTTCACTGTACATTTCTAGTATCACCCTTAACTTTAAGCAGTTTGCCCTTCATTGCCATTAAGAGCATTTTTTTAGCAACATAAAGTAAACTTGTTCTTAAGAAAAGTGAAGATCTTGAGATTATTTTGGGGAGGTAGGGGCTGTTGTTACATGGAGACATCGCTGAATCTCCAGATTAAGACTGGAATTAGCATTGTCATACAGAAATATCGTATAATAATGGTATTATACGATACAGCATGATGGTTCTTAAGTTCCTTAGTATTTTCATGGAAGACTTTACTTGTGATGGAGTCAATCACTATATACAGTGGTACCTCCGCTCACGAACGCCTTGGTTCACAACCAAATTGGGCCGTGAACAAAAATTTCATGAAAATTTTGACGTGGGTTGCAAACTCCGCATTGGGTGGTGACCAAGATCGCAGCCATTTTCCCACCCTTGAGTGAGGAGATGGCCACGATCGCTGTTGCATTTGTGCTGGGAAGACATGCGTCATCATGTGTGCGCTCCTGCAGGAAAGACAGGCGCGATCTCAGCTATCTCCCCCCCCCCACAAGCACGATCGCGGCCATCTCCCCACCCTCCTAGTGGGGAGATGGCCAAGATCGCGCCTGTCTCTCCCCCAGCGCGCCCCGCTCGTGCCTGTCTCTCCCCCTCCCTCGCAGCATGCTGGAATGATGGGTGCATGCAGGGACAACAGGTGCGATCTCGGTCGTGCTGGGGGTTGGGGGAAGATGGCCGCAATCTTTGTTGTTCTTTGTCAGTTTGCTTCACATTTTTCCGATTAAAAAATAAATGCTTACAGAACAGATTAACCTTATCTACGTTGAACCTTATGGGGAAATTTAACTTGGCTCACAACCAATTTGGGTCACGACCAGAGTCCTGGAATGGATTAAGTTCGTGAGCCAAGGTACCACTGTAATTGATTCTGCATGGTTCTGCCCAGTAGAGCTCTGTCCAATACAGCCTCCTACAATTTGACAGGATAATTGAAATGAACATAGAAAAGCTCACTGAGATATTTTTGCAGGGCAATTTTAGGGAAAAGTGCATCCATCCCAATATGGATACCACTTCAAGTGTAATTCTGACAGGAGATGTCTGCAGCCTCTCTCAGGCATATGATTCATTTCAGTAGGCTTTGTCTGAGATTGTAGACAAGTTCCTGGAAGCATCCGATCAATCACATGTGCGCTAGCTGGTCTGTGTTGTCTGGTTTGGTTCAGGATAAGATTATTGTCTCTCTTCAGGAAGAGAATTTCTACCCTTTTGAAGGAGGCAGTTTCCAGATATTTATTGTGGGGAAAATCCTTAGATTTACTGGACCAGAATAATTACTGCCTAGTTTCTAATTTAGCTTTTGGGGACAAAAAGATTAACTGAGTAACAGTAACACAAGTCAATGAACTTCTGGATTGAATTTACTAATTAGCATGCTATGATTCTAGCTTCAGGCCTGCTTTGTAACAGAAACTGTCATTGTCATGGTGGATGACCAATACAGGGACCTACAAAGAGGGACTATGACCTTATAAATTCTTCAGGATTTCTCAGTGACTTTCAGTGACTTATCAGCCATGATATACTTCTGGACCACCTGGCTAGATTGAGAGTAGAAGGAACCAAAGTAAAGTGGTTCTTTGCATACCTGTTCTGTTGGATACTTGCAGAACCCCAAAGAAGAAATTTCACCAATATGCACTGTGAAACATCTGCTTTAAAATAACAGATAACATCTCCTGTGTAAGGCTGCCTTCTATGAATGCCTGCAAACTTCAATTAATTCAAAATGAGGCCAGTCATTTATTTGAGAAGTGAGCTCAAATGCCTAAAACAGCTATACCGACTTATAATCTGTTTCTAAGTACAATTAAAAGTGCTGCTGTTGACTTTTAAAGCCTAAATGGTCTGGTTTAATTAAAATAATTATTTCCCCTTATCTTTGTTTTGTACACTTTGATGAGCAGAAGAGGTCTTCTTTTATTACTCTTTTTCAGATGAGGATGGACTAATGGGAAGGTTGTTTTCAGCTACCTCTCTTTGGAACATCTTCCTTTCTATATAGTTCTATCCTAGTTCTATTCTCACCTTCTAGAAACTAATAACAATCTTATTCCAGCTGGCCTTTGGGGGAGTGAGGCAGATGCTATTTGAATGTGCACATTTCTCTTTCTGCTGTTGTGGCTTTTTATATTTCTAATGACTATATTTTAATCTAATTATTGTTCCTTGTAATTGATAAAGTCTTTGTAACCTTCCCTCTGAAATTCTTGTGAAGGATGTGTTAGAAAATTAATGGAATAAATGTTGGGTTTTTGAAGCATCTTCAGGCATTTGAAGCATTATTTCCCCAGGGATTATACTCCATGGTATGTATGTTTCAGTAAAAAATGCCCTTTGCTTGTTAACCAGAAAGGTCATTCATTAAAACCTGTTGCTAGCTGACTAGTTCTAATACAAAAAATATTTAGCTAGCAGTAATAAACATAGTCTCAGTATGCATAGGATTGAGCCCTAACAAAACAAGCTCCTGGCTGGGACATAGTGGGGTTGCAAGTCTTTTTTTCTGTCTAAACATGCATCCATAAAATGGAGTTTGTGACATTCTACCTTAAGTTATTGACCTTTTATATAATCTTAGAATTTAGATTGACAACAGTAGCAGCAGAACCGAATCAGGAATATGAGAGATATGGTCAGATCTTTGATCAGTTTTCTGTCAATCTGATCCTGGAGGAAGC